GCAGGGTGAGCGCCCCCTGCTGGCCCCACCCACACCTCTCCCAGCAGCAGCCCCAGCTTTCCCAGGAGTCTCCCCTCCAGGTACTGGCCAGGCTCCCACCTGCTGGGCTCCAGTGGGGTTTGTCAGCTGGGAGCTGCAGGGGGGGACGCGGCTGCCGGCTGGTCGTAGAACCCACCTTGTGGACCCCTTCCTCCTGGTCCCCCAGCCTGCGGGCCGAGCCCCTCTGCACCTCCAGGTTCCAGCGGTCCAGCTGCACGACGTTGCCGTCCTCCACGTGGCACAGGACCTTGGACACGGGCTCGTCGGTGTAGCCCTGCGGATCGGGGGGGGACGGGGGGACACGGCAGAGATAAAGAGCACCCCGCGTTCCCCCCAGCTCTTCAAGGGCTGCAAGTCTGGCTCGGGCCTGGGGTCACTGCTCCCGATCTGGCTTGGGCGGGGGGGGCATTGAAACAGGGAGGGCCGTAGTAGGTCATAGGTCATAGGTCACAGGTCAAGGGCGTTGCCCTCCCCTGTGTGCGGAAGCAGGGTTTGCCACCGCGAGGACCTAGTGATCCGCCGTACGGGGTGGGCGTAGAAGACAAAATCAGTGGCGGTTCGAATTTTACGGGCCGAAAACACCTGGAGCAGGCGGTGCATGGCTGTCTTGCAGCGTTGGGGCCCGGGGTTCGAGACCTCAAACCTGATCTGCGTGGAGTTTGCCGGGGCAGGTGGGTTTCCTTGCCGTGGCCTGAAGCCAGGCTGGAGAGTTAACTGGCTTCCAGGCCACTCAGGCTGCCACTGCCTGCCTCCAGTTAGGTTGCGCGATGTGCTCGCTGGCGCACCTCATTGCGAAGGTCTGTGCACGGGGTACAGTATGTGTGCGTGGGACAAACGCACGATTCCAAATTCTCTTTTGTGCTACTGAGGCATCCACCCACAGGCTGATTATAATACCGAAAAAGAGCTGGGCCAACAGTGGGCTTCCAATTCTAACACACTTCAGATAATACACGTTAAATGCTTTTTTTTCGCCTTTAAAATATGAAAATGCACAGATTGATCAACTCTCGATCCAATGACCCTCCCATCAAAGCAAACCGTGGCAGTGTTTGAGAACCACAGTTAAATGAGATCATACTCAGACTCCGGGCAGCACTAAGTTAAAGCTTTCTATATCTAAACCGTATAACTAAATCAGGCAGAAAACTGGTGCACATTTAGGATGATCACATTTTCCAGTGAGCTGCAAAGATGTGGACAGCGGACTATGTTGGGCACAGTGCACAATGCACGAATGAGGGGACTCACCCCACCCCAGTTCAGAGTTCTCGCCAGGTCATTTCCTGTGCCCAGAGGAAGTACCGCCACTGGCGGCTGGGGGTTCATCTGCAGCTCGTCCAACGCAGACAGGATCCATCCCACCTGACAAAAAACACACCCAACACCCAGTGTGACGGCCTCACCAGCACACCCCAGTTGGGGTGAGCAAGATCACAGCTCCCCATACCAGTTCGCTCAGACTGGACTGGACTGGACTGGACTGGACAGGCGCCTGCTGGCTAAAATATGCCAGAGTAGGGGAACCAGGTGATGAAAAGGGAGGAGTTCATCACCTCATTACGGAGCACCAAGTCTGACGAACTGTGATTTAAGTTCAAATACAGTTTTATAAAACATTCTCGTATGTTTTGATGCATGAGGCTTACTAAGATTATAATTTTGACTGTCTTCCAACCCCCCTATATGATAAAATACATTACATATTAACATACATATTGAATTATATCACTCAATAAACAGTGCATCTCCAGCTCCTCTCTGAATTTTACACTCTGAGCTACAGCTGTGTCTCCTCCCTGAACGCTGCACCCTGGT